TCACAACTTACAACATTGAAGAACTCTATGGTTACAATATTAATGACATAAGAAGCGTAAACATAATATGAAAGGAATATATAGACTCATTGTAATAAAAATGATGTATTACCTTTCAACCATTACAAGATGTAGTATAAAAAGAACCAATGACATTGAAGTAAAAAATCCAAGAGTATCTAAAGACATTCATGTAGAATAGGATTTCAAAAACTGAGAGACTACTAAATAAAATATTTCAAAAGTTGTTATATTGCATGAAGTCTTCATTGGTCTGTCCATTTGCTGTACAGAGGTAACTCGTGGTTGCTCTGATGCTAAACACAGTGACACTGATGCATCAAATGCATTAATGGTTATGCATGATGGTCAGTGCTTGGTGGAGCTCCCCATTTAAAACAAACTTGGAAGCAGGAGTGGGCTCCACTTCCGAAATAGCTTGCCTCCAGAACTCTATGAACTTGGAGAAACTATAAAAGCTTTACAATTGTTCAGGTCTTTCATTCATAGGGTTGGGATGAGTCATCTACGACTCCATGGCACTTAACAACAACATGCTAAGAAAAACAATACCCATCACAATAGCTAATCAAAAGATTAAATGTTTGTGAGTGAATCTAACTAGAAACACAAAAGACTTATCCAAAGAAAATCACAAAACATTACTACAAGAATGTAGTACAAAAAGATCTAAAACAAAAAGAGACCTGGAGAAATGGAAGAATATACCATGCTCTTGGAGGAAGACTCAATATTGTGAAAATAACAATTTTACCCAAGGCAGTTTACAAGTTCAATGCAATCTCTGTACAAATACTAATTCCATTCTACAATGAGATGGAAAAGGCAATATCTATTTTCATCTGGAATGGAAAGAGACACCAAATAAGTAAAGCACTCCTTAAAAAGAGAAACAAGGTAAGAGGCATCTCACTCCCTGATCTCAAACCCTACTACACAGCTGTGGTGGTCAAGACAGTACTGGTATTGGTACAGTGACAGATACATAGATCAATAGAATAAAATTGAGAACCCAGAAATAAGCTCATCTACCTATGGT